GGATGAGTGCTTGATATGTTTCGCTTTAACCGTCTCCGTTTGCCTCTGTAGCTTCACCCCAGGAATCCACAAACAACAGTCCTCCTAGATTGACAAAGCTTTTTAACGCTATTTGCTTTAAAAAAAAAAAACTGACGGTTAGCTACACTTGCTTGTAGCCAGTCAGCTTCTCACGACATGAACACAGCCAATAGCAGCCCGCCGCCTTGCACTGAACCCGGGTGCAGACATTGCCGCTCTCCGCCTATCACAAGCCACCAATCGCATACGTTCTCCGCATTTCACCAGACAGGAAGTGCACCGGGTCCGCTGAACTCGCATAGGCCAACAACAGCAGCCATATTTCAGCGCATTCAATGCTCTCCACAAATCGAATCCCAAAAATTTCACCGCCGACCAACTGGCACCCAATCATGCGCCTCCAATTGCATCGGGCATCGCCGGCGTAGTTTTTCATTGAATCTCGGCATACAATCACGTGGGGAGGCGTAGCTCCGTGTGATGACGCTGCGTTCCCAGTGAGTCGGCGGTGGGTTCACTTCCCGGGGCAGCGATCATTTTTCGTTTGGGTCTTTTTTGCACGCTCACATCGTCTCCTCCGGAGCATTTCATAGGCACGTAATGCTATTTATGCAATGCTCATGCTGTGTACAGTTCGGCCATTATCAGTTTGATTATACGGTCAGGTGCCGGTCGTGATGAAAACTCACACGGACATTCGGCCGCCACGTTCTATTATCGGCTCTAGACGTACGCTCCATGTATTAAGCCAGGGCCGCAGACTAGCCTGTACTTGCGAGTCGGCCGAGTGTGACGTGAACCACGTCGCCAAGAAAAGCCCCCTTGAAACAAAGATAATTGGATTTCAATCACTTTATTTCGGGTGGTTCGGTGTTTTTCGTTCTAATTGTATATGTCCCAATCTTTTATTGAAATACAAGCCACCAGAAGACACAATTCTACCCATATTTATAAGACAGTTCCTGCGACATTTCTGTACCAATGCAAGTCAGCGGCATTGTGATCTCCACCTGGTCCTTTAATTGCTGGCACGTGGCCGCTGTGCCCCACCCCCTACCTGCACGTCTTATTGAGTACCAAATTTGAACTGTGAATGAGAGCTTATGACGATTATTCATTTAGAGACAATGGAAGGGTGCTGTGCCACTCAGGGCCCTCAGTATTGAATGGTGGGCATTCCAGCATGGGCCCGTTAAGCCAAACTGGGGTCTATGTGCCATTTGTTGGACAATCTCGGTTCAGCTGGGCGCGCCGCCACGCGCGGACGCTAGCGTTGCTCGGCTCCTTCCTAGGCCTCACGCTCCTGTCGGGAGCCAACTCATAACCCGCACCAGTGCACTCCATCTTGTGGGGCCCTCCACACTGGGTCAGACCCGAAGGGTCCGCAAGGCCGGACGGAAGTCGCATTCTGTGATGACTTTAAGCTGTAAAAGAGGTAAATGGTCCGCACCTCCCTGGATTTTAGCCTGAGCGTGCTTAGTCAAAAAATGGTTGCCGAAAAGGGTTTTCTGTTTTCTGTTTCTGTTCTGTTTTTCTGTTTTCTTTTTAGCATCTTGCAGGTGTCCATTATATCTCCGGTTGATGTGCAGTCGCGTATGCAACTCACGCCGTATATGCAATGTATGTGTATGTGTATGAAGGATATGACTGACTATGCCAACTTCTCAGCCGTCAGCCACGTGGCATCAGCCGTTTCCAGCGCATCTAGCGCACGAATTATTTAGAGTCTTCAGGGGGCGCCGGCACGTTTGCTTAGGAGTCGACGGGCGCCGCGGGCGACAGCGGCCGTCAGGAAGCCATGAGTTTGCGGCAGGCATTTATGAGCGGTTCTGGTTTCGGGGACACGGGTTTACCTGGTGCGCTTGTCGGGCAGTGGCAAAACAGAGCAGCACAACGCACTGCACGTGCGAACCGCTTACCAGTCACGGTCCGGCGTCGTGCGTCAACAAGTACACTGGCAAGTGGCGAAGTTTGTTAGCTTCACGATTGCCAAGTTTTTGAACAAGAGAGCTGCAGCCTTCCTTTGATGTCTTTGAGTGCTGTTTGTGTTGAGCAACATCAGCCACGTCACTTTTTTCGAGAATATTTTATCGTTTTCTGTTTGAAGATTAGCTCGAACGGTGTTTAGAAATACCTGTTCGAGACTACGCTAACCCATTTGACCAGAACAATTGTCTTAAGACGCCCGGGGAACCTTTAACGTGTCATCAAACTCACTGACATTGTTACGCTGTACGATCGTGGAAACCCTTTCGCCTCACACCAACTGGCATGCGCGAACTCAAACAATCCGCCGCCTCTGGGACTGGGTACCAGGTGCCTGCCACGTGCTTGAGTTGGGAATCTAAGCCCCTCGGGCACTACTGCAGAAACCGGCATAACTATGAATATATGTGTCATACCCCAATGATCAAACACCGAAGCATAAGATTGCAACGAATGCGAAGCACGCGGTCGTTGCTTGAAAAGGCAGTGTCCCATCAGCCGAAGCACAGTGGACAACAGTGATCATTTAATCACACATCAAACATAAAATGACGATTCAAATAATTTCATACGCAGCTAAATCAGCATTCATCTAGGCCGCGCCGATGAATATCTAAACATTACATGTACTCGTCAGGCAAATGAGATAATAATGGTAGCCATGCACAGGAAATATCTGCTATGTAGTAGTCGTTTCAAGTGATCACACTGTGAGTCAAATAGCAGCGTAATAATAGTAATTGTATGGAGCTACACGGAAAGTCGGCAATACGTGACAGATGAAACGCGAATTTTTTCCAAAAAAAACGTGAAACACTATACGCCCGTGACAAATATAGGTATGACTTTTCAAAAATTATGCCTTCGTCCCACTGTAAAAGTGGATCAACTCGGTTATCTTGAAGGAGTGGAAGTCAATGCACGGTAGACCAGTCCATGCCTAAGGCAGGCTGTTTTCCAAAAGTTTATTTTGTTCTATGGTTTAATGGCTCTATGGTTTAATGGTTCTATGGTATAATGATTCTATGGTGTATGGTGTTATGGTCCTATGGTGTATGGTGTTATGGTTCTATATTGTAGGAAAGACAAGTGAGAAAATGGGTACGTGTTGCAGGCATCAAACCAATTTATCACACCAACAAGTAGAAGTGCTGATCTGAAAACATGGACCAAAGCAGCGTCAAATCGGTTCAAAGTCGGTCAGGGTGGCGGCCGTCGCCGGCGGGTGGCGGATCAGTGGAGCTGGCCGTCGGTGGTGGGTGGGAGCAGCGCTCAATCAAGAATATGCAAAAAGGGACAAAATTGTGTGCAGTAGCTTTTAAGGGAGAAACCAAGGCTTTGTGGCTTTTGTCTATTATTGTTTTTGTCAGGCTGCATTCGAAGCTTCCAAAATTTGTCCTGCTGAGGATGTGTGACAAAAGTTCGTTAAGATGGTGTGAAAAAGGCTTATTTCATTCAAATCACGGCTTACGAACACCTTTTGGATTTTCGGGCATGTTGGAAGCTACAATTATGACCAGTCCGTGCCCGGGCTTTATTTTGACCTGTCAACCGTAGAAGCAGGTGCCTCTCACAAATTCAACATGCCTCCCCACTTATGGCCTTCCCGGTAGAAATCATGCTGAGACGGATGAATAATGCTAGAAAACTAGGTACTGGTGTTTCCAAATGATACTGATGAGTCGATTAGGCAAGATTGTGCAGCAGTGCAGGTGTTGCTATGTGGCATAGCAACTGGAATTTACCTATCTCCGAAATGTGTTGTCTTCGATTAAGAGCAGACAAAGTCCTCCATTTTCCATCTCTAGTCCCCCCCTCCCCAACCGGCGGTTCGGACCTTGCTTCTCAGAAGACGTTTCAAGTAAGCCGTGAGTCTGCCCCCCCCCCCCCTCCCACTTTTTGAAACCTTCCCACGCCTGTGAACGATTTATATTAGTGTCATGCAATTGCGATGGCATTGAATGGTTGAGCACGCAGATCATTCTAAGTCTGATAGTATGGATCGTCAATATATCTCAAAACACGCTGTTCACACTGCAACATGACGAGGCAGCCATTCGGATACGTTCTAAGCTAACGTTGTTTACGCAAAGGTATCTACCGTAAATTCGTCAAAACATTGCACCAAAAATGAAATGCGACTGATCACTGTATTACCACCAAAACATCATCATGCTATACGCCTACTCCAGATCCTATATTCGCCTGCAATAAGCGTTAGAAAAGTTCCCCACAGTTATCATCATAACAACACACCGAACGCTTCATGATAAGCCCTTGAGGGGGAAAGATCAGCTCCGTGAAAAGGGCTCCCAGTCAGCCTCTCTGTGAACTAGTAGTTTTTAACCCTACGAGGAGATGGCGCTACAAACGTTCATTTCAACAGCACCTCGGCGTTTCGCACGGAGGGTCAATGAACTTGCAAACCTACGCCACGCCACCGGCGGCTGGCCGCGTTCAGCGTCGCCCGGTGACTGCGATATTCACACCGGGTGAGCTCGGTGACTGCGACATTCACACCGGGTGATGAACCAGCATTTTACTCATAAAGATGGTTGCTGTGATCCGGAGCGAATGTGAAACGCGTGGGACGTCGGCGTCGAAGGCTTGCGAGCAAACTGACGACCGGTAGCAGCAATGTCTGCGACAAGTGCGTGCATCACAAAATAACCCCATCACTGCATGATGGTGTACAGCCCCATCCGGTGCCACCGGTCTTCAAAAGAACACATTACATGCGTGTATCTGCGTCTTGGCAACCACCGCACTGTTCATGTTTTGAGAGAGGTTGGCCATAGCATCCGTCGGCTGCTCGTGCAGTCATGTCCTGAATGAACTCTCGCCTGCGGAAATATCACGCACTCCACATCGGTCGATGTGTTAATAACATAACCACCCCGTCACCCGCCCCGGCCGCTCGGCCGATTTCCTGCCCACTCAGTGGTGCACGCATCATCCAGCATTCTCTCCACTGAGTGGTACTTCTTGCACACGGTTCATAAGATGCTGGTCTCCACTTCGGCATTTTCTACGACTCATATTCAGGAAGAGGTGATCTTCGAGAGAGCTCCATCATCTTCATCACTCCATTGTCCTGAGGGCAATAAGCACACATTCGGTAAAATGACGGGAATATCGCGGGTAGCGTTCGAGATAACGCAGTATTAAAGATGAGTGGCCGGCCGGTAGTCTGCATGGTCAGTCAACACTCAGCTGACGACGGCCCGTCATCCGAGCCAAATCGAATCCTTTTGAGTTGATTAGCACGGTCACAAAGTCGGGTGGCAACTGTTTGACTGATGACAGCTGCCAACCAGCCTTGCCCGGTTCACAAAGATCTGAGTGTCTCTGACGTCAGCCAGTGCAGGTCCGGTCGATATCTCTCCACTCACAAGCTCGTACCATCTCAAAGCTCGATGCCTCTCCACTCACGAGTCCGCACCATCTCAGGGCTCAATACCTCTCCGGTCACGTCCCCGCACCATCTCAGAGCTCGACCCTCTTCAATCACGTCCCCGCACCATCTCAGAGCTCGATGCCTCCCCAGCCACGTCCCCGCACCACCTCAAAGCTCGACCCTCTCCAGTCACGTTCCCGCACCACCTCAGAGCTCGACCCTCTGCAGTGACGTTCCCGCACCATCTCAGGGCTTGACCCTCTCTAGTCACATCCCCGCACCATCTCAGAGCTCGACCCTCTGCAGTCACGCCCCCGCACCATCTCAGAGCTGGACCCTCTTCAGTCACGTCGCCGCACCATCTGAGACGCCAGTCAGCTAATCCGACCACGTTAGCATGACGCGCACAATGTGAGAGATCGTCTGAGAACACTTCGACGAGATACAACGGCTGCGGTAGCCCACTGAGCCAACACAAATGAAGCCCCTCTCTTTCTAATGCATCAGTCATGGGTGGATATTTCAGCACCGCAAACAACACCCGGTGGGATTCGGCAGCCGAGCTGTGCAGCCGAGCCGGGCGGCAGCCGAGCCGGGCAGCCGAGCTGGGCGACCGCTGAGCTGGGTAGCCGAGCAGGGTAGCCGAGCAAAGCAATCGAGCAATGAGGTCGAGCTGGGCAGCCGAGCTGGGCGGCCGAGCCGGGAGCAGCGCTATTGACAACACCACTGACAACGTTGTCTGGGCTGGGAGCCGAGCGCGGGCCTCACCTCCGAGTCGCGGCAGGGCGTGAAGCAGTACCGTCCAGCCACCGCGTAGTGCGGCTCGCCACCCGCCATCTGGGGTCACACAGGCGGTGCATCAGTGATGGCTCTGGCGACAGGCCACTGGCAACAGACAGGCGCCGACAAACGAGCCTGGGACAGGGCTACGCCTCCTGGCCAGGGGTTTGTAGGCTTGTTAAAAGTGGTTTGCATACGACTGACTTGTTGAATTCCGAGATGAAATCGTCGATGTAGTCAACCGCTGGCCACTGCTATCAATATATGCAATTCAAAGACAAAAACAACTGAGAGCAAAGGAAGCGATCAAAGGCATGTAAACGTGTCAAATTTGATATGAATCACGCAAGTAAGCGATAAAGCTCATTTGGAAGGGACATTATGTGTCTGGGCAGACAGCACTAACATATTTACTTCTCACGGAATAGCCAGGACAATACACCTCATTTGCACATTCTCATGGTTTTTCTACGGGCATTCAGGCTATTAATCCTGTCTTATCTATTTGATTTGTGCCCTGAAAATAACGCGAATATTTTGACAGACACATCACGTTAACGGCTTGAGAATATGCAACTTACATGGCATAGCGGGTTTATGTAATGGCATGCATTGTAATGTTTAGTATCAAAAATAACAATGCGCACACATTGATGAGCTCTTCCACAAAGGCACAAGAAAGGAGTATGCAAACCGAAAAAAACATGAACGCCTGGTGGGAACAGTACACAATGGTTAAAAAGGGCACTTCTGACCGAAAGCCATTTAAATAAACAGTTCACATTTGTGTTTTCCCCCCATAAAAAGAACAAAAGAGCCCTAGCACTTGACCTTTAACTCGGGTGTGTTGAACGCTACGAAGTCATTTCGAGGAGAGGCACTTGACTGATAAGGTGACTTGGAGTCTATCGCCGGCTGCGTGAACAGATAAACACCGAGCACCTCGCAAAACCAGTTCGATCGGATAGTACAACCACCAAGCGGTTTGGGTCCGCGTTTGGGGTGATATACGCGTTCTGCAGGTGCACTGGTCTTTCCACGTCTGTGCTGACTTGTGACTGACTAAAGCGCAATCGAATCAGTCTCCGGAATCGACTTCATTTTGGCCGGTGGCGGTTTCAGATCAGGTTCACTTGCATAATCAGCTGAATCGCATACGCGGTGTGACGTACCATGTTTTTGTAAGGTAGGTTTTGTGATGAATGTAGTTGCGTGAAATAGGGCCTTAATTGAGAAGCAACACGGTCATAAAGGCTCGCAGCCTGAGGCCAATCGCATTATAAGTGCACTGGACGCGTCAGTGAATTACGTGCATTCGGTTCCTTTGATGCGCCGTTGGATTTCATCCGCACGGAGAAGCGCGGTGCCGTCACAGCCAGCCCTCTGCACGTGCGAGGTGAGTGACTCGGTACCTGCACGACATGTGGTGCCGACCACGGACTCGGCCACGTCTATCCTGCCCAGATCCGTTGGACAGCCCAGCGCGCAGCGCCGGCGGCGCCGACACGAGGCGGCGTTCGGAGCATGTGCTGGCGGTCGTCCTTCAGCCAGCCCAAACGACAAAACATCGGCCCGCCTTGGCCTCAGTCGGACTGTGGCGCACTGTGTCGAGGTGTCGCCATATCTTTCTGGCCGAGCGCACGGCAGCCGTCCGGCTACCGACATGCTGTTCTGTCTGCTCCTCGGTCTGCTGGGCACGCCAGGCTGGCCATGTGCTGGATCACTCGCCCTTATGTTCATCCATATATAAGCCGTCCTAGTAGCTTGCACCGACCGGTTTGCCCTCGCCTTGTGGTAGTTTTCTTTCCACCTTCGCCCTATGTGTGAGCAGACCTCAAAGATCCCCCTCCAAAGATCTAAAAAACTAAGCAAGTTGATGCTCCGCGGGACATAACATTAAGAAGCTCTCGTCAAACTGCATCAAAACCGCCATCAAGGTTCAAATCGTAATGACACCTTTAAAGAGTAACATCAAGTTACAAAAGTCAAAACCTGATCTAGATTGCCCTTTAATAACCTGAACTTGAAAACGTCTTGACTCGACTTCAGCATGCGTGCACTTGCACTTCAAAGTGATATCAATAAGAAAGGCAGTTCAACGCTGGTTGTCATTTTTTAAGCAAATGTCTATGCAAACCTCCAGAAAGAGACCATGGGTCGCAAACTGCCAAAGTCAGAAATTTCTCAATTTCACCACGTAAAACCGACAAAAAATCATGCACCTCAAATTTTAGAACCGCGACTCCAAACAGTCCAGGGTTTACTCCATAAAACCTTAGTGCAGCCTGTGAGGTCCCCTTGTATGGCAACAGTTAGACGCGCCACTCTTCTCGGATAGGCAAGGTCCTGTTAGTGTTTGGGTAAATGACGTGCGTCAGTCAGTTAAACGGCCTCTTTATCCGCCAGCCTTGGCATCGTAAAGCCGAGGCGGGCACTTTGCTTGTGATGTGTCGCCGCCCAGCGACGATGCCTCGACTGGCTCCACTTGTGTAGCAGGACAAGGTTCGCAGCAAAAACCATTGACCCAGTGGCGTACACATCAGTTATCTTCGATAAAACGTACAAAAACTGTTCCGCTTTTTACTCGCCTCGCCGCTCGGTCAACAGTCACCACGGTACACCTCTGATCTGTCCTGCGGGCCGTCTGCACACTTACGACCTTAGCTAATGGTTGACTGTATCCAATTGTGGCCTGCTCTGTTTGCTCTCCGCGTGCGGATGCGACCTGGCCCGCAGTCTGCCTATGTACAATTGCGAATGACCCGCTGCCAGCTTGCGCACCTATGTGACGTCACTGGGCCTGTTGGCTGCATTTGTAGCAGTGCATGCTGCTCCGTTGGTTGTCTGTGTGGCAGCGCGGGCTGACCAGTTCGCTGTCTGTGTGGCAACGCGGGCTGGCCGGTTGGCTGTCTGTGTGGCAGCGCGGGCTGGCCGGTTGGCTGTCTGTGTGGCAGCGCGGGCTGGCCGGTTGGCTGTCTGTGTGGCAGCGCGGGCTGACTTGTTGGCTGTCTGTGTGGCAGCACGGGCTGGCCTGTTGGCTGTCTGTGTGGCAGCGCGGGCTGACCTGTTGGCTGTGCATGTGTGGCAGTGCGGGCTGGCCCGTTGGCTGTCTGTGTGGCAGCACGGGCTGGCCTGTTGGCTGTCCGTGTGACAGCGCGGGCTGACCTGCTGGTTCCCTGTGTGGCAGCGCGGGCTGACCTGTTGGCTGCCGTTGAGCGGTGGCGGGTCGTGGGCGCCGCGCGGTATGCCCGCCGTTGCCGGCGTCATGCAGCGGTCGCAGTGGCGGGTCAGAGCTGGACGCTGATCAGATGCGTGACATCGCATGGCGAAGCACAGCTCCTCCACCATTTCGGAGCACAGTGATTGCTGCCAATCAGAGGTCACGAGCGAGCTCGACCACATGACGCGTCTCAACTGGAGGTCCTATACACGTGGGCCGGGCCGATGGGGGAGTGCTACACAGTGGGATCTGAAGAACATTGCGAGAATGGTACAAGTAGGGGTGAGGACTTAAAACTATCAGATGTATGCTTCAAGAAATACAAAAGCTAATTGGTGCAAGCTATCGAGACGGATACGGGTGTCAGCACGGGTATAAACACTGATAGTACTTATTTGTGTCAGAGCATTATTGACTGGTACTGGCCATCTTGGGTTTCATGGTGTGACAATGCTGACGGGCAGGACGGAAAGGCTTGTGCTCTCCTGGGAAGTACACGGAGCATCACAAGTAAAAGCATGCCCAGTGAATGCAAACGTTTTTCTACAAGTTAATCTTTGAATAAGTTGCGCGATGAACGGGACGGTCTTACCTTATCTAGCTGAGCGTTTCGCTTCGCCGTCCAGCAGAACTCCACGATTGCCACGCACACCGCGAACGCCAGACCGCAGAGCAGCACCACAAAGACGCCCCCTGTGCCGAACACGGGCGGGACAGACAGTAAGAGGAGTGGCGCCTGGCTACCAGGCGCGACCAGCTAAGGATTTCAGCGTACGCAAGCTGCCTGAGCACCGCGGCCAAAGCCGCTCCATTACGCGGTGCTATATATGGGCACATTATTTGACGGCCTAGGCTGCATAGCTATGGGAAGGTCGTAGGCTTAATGTGAGTCAGTCCCCGGGTACCCGAACAACCCCGACATTCGTCGTGCTGTTCGCCACATGCCTAAAACGTCTGATCACGCCCGCCCGGCCTGCTGAGAAGCAGGGTGACTATGGAACGGATGACTCCAACACGTCTCTTCGCACGGACCGGGAGCTCACCTATGTTTGCCACGCCCAGCTCACTGGCCTTGGACTCTTTGTTCTTGTCATCGCGGTTGCAGGAGCCGACGTTGTCTTTCCACCATTTGTTGTACAGAGTGTGGATAACGGCCTTCTCCTGCAATTCCAGGATGGCCAGCGAGATCGGGTCTCGCCACGGGGAGCCTGCCGAGACGCCACTCACGTCAGATGGGTCCCGCTTCGGAAAACTGTCTGGGTCACATCCCAGATCAGAGGGGTCTCGCCACGGAGAGTTTTCTAAGCCGCTGCCCGGGCCAAAGGGTCTACGCCACAGAGAGCTTTTCAAGCTACAGCCCAGGTTGGGTGGATTCTGCCAAGGAGAGCTTGCCCACCCAGACACAGCGCAGGCAGCGACCATGGATGGGAGTCAAACGTTTGGCGTTCCGGATGGCCACGACTTGGTCAGCGTCACTGTCATAACATTACATATATTAGGATCATAATAAGTTAAGATATTATCCGGTGAGACCTGCACCTAGACTTGTGTCGATTCAGAGCATGACAAAAGGCAGAGGGTGCCTTTCAGATACGTTGCCAGATCTGCCAGACTTGCCGACGGTGTCCCAAATCCAATGACCAGCTGGCGGACCTGATACACTGATCTATGACATAGCTTGGTCTGATGATAGACGATAGTCATATTATCTCAGTGGTATACTGGATATGCTCATATTCTGACAGATGAGATGATAAATCGATCACGACACATCGGACCGTCTGATTAATATATGCGTAACAGCAACTAAATCTGACCGTGTAGATGGTGCCAGATCCCGCTATCTAGAAGACAACATCACTGAAAGCTACATCAGAGTGGCCGCAGAGTGAGATGGTCGCATTTGCCATCCTTCGCGGTGGTATCATTCTGCGACCATGTAGAGACGAGAATATGCAGCGATTTTGTGTTGTTTTTTCGTGGGTTCATTTTGTCTTTGGCGTAATATCTTTATCACTTATTTTTTTTAGTTGGTCATCTATTTATGCTCATAATTCCTCCAGCTTGCGGACATCGGTGGCGGTGCTGAAGGCTCAACGGAGAAAACTTTATCCCGCCAGGATTAAGTGTATAAGCATAAGGTGCAAGGCTCATACCATGTACTTTAGGTTCTCATAATGTCCTGGACTGCCGATACTTCTTTCCCGGGCACTGACGTCGGTCCGTGCAAACCTCGCTCGGCTGGCGGGGGGAGAGTGGAGGGAGAAGTACACCTGGCATCTTCACACCGTAAAGGCTAGGGGACGAATGGAACGCTATTTGATGGGTCATGCACAAATCATGTTTGTGTTAAGGCCAGGGTCAAGGTAGTGTTTGTCGGTTCCAGTTCCGGCGGTCAGAACGCCTGGCCTTTGTTCACCCACCCGCGTTGGGTTGGCTTTGCGTCGCTTCAGACAATCACTATCTGCCCCTGACTGAGGTGGTCTGCAGCCGGTGGGAGCAGTGACGCGAAAGGTCAACTGACGTCAGATAGTAGGATGGAGCCTACCGGGCGTTCCGGCGCGTTAACGTTTCGCCAAAATGCCCCACGATTCACCAGGAATTCACTATCGGATGGTGGAGCCAGGGCTTATGCAACAAATACTGCTTGGCGTAGGCGCCAACCCCAGAAATCCATCCAGTTTCAATGGTCAGCTCAAATCTTAATGCAAACGTACTTTTCCAGTCAAACGTACTTCTCTGTCTGATGTGGTTCTCTCCAAATCACGCCTCTCGAGCTTATCTCCGCGCGAACCTGTCTACCTTAGATGTTATCAAAACTGCATATAAACAATCCGTATCGACAGCGAGTGTTTGGCACCGGCAAACATACAGTATCGATGTCATTTTGTTTTGGTCAGAGAACGAGAAGTGACATTACCAACCGGTGACCTCCTTTTTTGACTGGCAGCAGTCATGAGTGGAGTCAAAAATATTTGAGTCATACCAGATTTGAACCAAACCGCAAGTTAAGTTTTAGCTTAGGCCAGTGACCCATGATGCACTGCTAGAGCTCACAGCACCACGTCTGGCGAAGAATGCAGTGCGTATTGAAGGTCGAAGTCGGGCCAGGGACTTATGACGATCGCATGGTGTTTGAAGTGCATGGAATAACATCGCTTAGTCAACAAACCATGACCACCACAGTTTGATTTATATGAAGTTGTGCTACACTTTGGTCCTGCTTGCTTCGACTAAACCTGCTCCATATCACGGAACTGACATGACGCGCACATGCAGACTAAGAGTATGCGTGAAGTTAAAGTAAGAGAAGGTATGTCAGATTTCAGGAGTACTTCAATTCAGAAATTCGGTTCAGGAGCATCAGCCAGTTTTAGCTATTGCTGAAATGTTGAGAAAGATTGGAGAGAGCGGATACCTAGCCCCCCCCCCTCCCCCCCCCCCACCGTCGTCAGCGCGAGGGAGGGGTGGGAAGAGTCGAATACAAAAGAGCAATACAACCGCAAGAAAGAGGCAGGGTGTTTTACTTAAGCGTTTTCATTAAAAATACAGGAAACTACAAATGTGACTCTATGGTCAAAGTCCGGCTACCGCACCAAAAATTGTAGCACTTTAACTACACCAAAAGCAAATCGACTTGTTCAGCTACCATTCGCCACGAACATTAAAACTGCATGCTGGCATGCATGTCTCGGGTTGTGCTTTCATCCTTTTCATTTGCATAAAATGCACTGACTTTATTCAACACACGATGACCAATGAACATAGAGTGACGAACATTTTCGACATTTTTGCAATACTTACCCATTGTTGTCGCAATTCCAAAGCCTTTGGAGTCGAGCAGCCCGCCAATCTGAGTGAGGTTGCAGTTCCGGTTCACGATATAATCAATAGTGGTCGACTCGGCAAGGTAAGCATAATTTCCCTGCAGGACTCTGGATATTCCTTCCTCGATCGTCTTTGTGAACACGGACGGCTTTTTGTTTTCCATAAAACGCCACATCTTCTTGTATGTGTCGATTTTCGAGTCCTGGAATAAAGGTTTTTACCAAGATCACTATTTTTGTTCGCTTAAGTCTGGTAACGAGCTTATAATCTCGCACTCACCGACAAATTCCTGTAACCGAGCCAAGCAGCAAACAAAAAGTAAACCAGCTGCAAGAACACTCGACTAATATCCCTGCACGACGGAGAGATCCGAAGTTTCTCAAGTGGTAAAAACTGTCTCCTGAAGTCCAACGAATCTGTAAATGATAATGCTGCTGACGCTGTTGATGAATGCCGGTAGTTCAAGGAAGTGGAAACGCGAGGTATTATTATTATATTATATTGTATTATACATTAGGTATTATTATTATATTATATTGTATTATATTATTGTTATTATTATTATATATTTTATTATTATCATTATTATTATATATTACATATTATTATTATTATTATATATTATATATTATTACTATATTTTTAGCCCGAAATGGATTGACGAACTCACTCGGAAGAAGGTCAGCGTGGATCCGCCCTCCAGAGTACCATAGCTGATGTCACTTTGGTCGGCCAGGTCCTCCGCACTTTCTGCAACAGAACGAGCACACGAGTATCAGCAACACGCTCCCAGAAGTGGTGACCTTCATATATTACGCCATCGCCAAAGTCTGCTGAAGTAGGCGTACTACTGCGATCTTAGTTTTAAAGTTGCAACGCTTTTCATAAAAATATTGAAATGCACGAAAGTAGTGACTGTGTGTCAAATACCTCAAATTATCAAATATCTTAATTTATATATCCATCGAGTATTGTCCTAAAGTGTTTGAGGACACATTCATTTTAGCTTTTCTGGTTTCGTATGTTTATCTTTACTCTCATTTTTAAGCTCGTGGGCCTTAAAAACACTTAAGCTTTTATGCTTGTTATCAATAAGTTCAAAACGTCCCTTATTTAGGTAAGACCACTCCAGAAAGCCAAATAAGTACCCACAGTACGGGCACAAGACCCCAAATCCTGTGTCACATCGGCCGTTTGTCACATACGGCGAACATCGGCTGTTTGTCACATCTTGTGAACACATGTTGTGTGTCATATCGGCTTTTACAACGGTGGACAACGGCTTTTACCTATGGGCGTGATCATTCTCTCGACGGTGAGGAAGGCGGCTAGATTGGCTGTGTACGACGAGATGATGATCAGTGTGAAAAACCACCAAATGCCTCCAACGATGCGGGTGGAAATAGCCTGAAAGTAATAATGGTTGATTTTATTTGATTGATACACATCACACAGTTGTTAGTGGTGGACACAGACAGCACGTACTAATCGAATGGTAACCCAGCTTCTTCACAGAGATCGTGTTACTCATAGGTGAAGACAATCGCTTGACGCTCCTCCTTCAGGCGATTGAATGAGGAGCTTGACACTCATCTTTCAAGCGATTGAATGAGGAGCATGACGCCCCTCCTTCAGTCGCTTCGTCCACGTTTGACAAACAATCCACTGCGATGTCTCAAAGCGATTGCTGCCGCATGCTTGCAGACGATTCACACGCAAGCGCAGACGTGGAACATGCTGAAGCAGCGGGAAACATAAACCAACTCGTCACTGGGTACAAGCGGCCACAGCCGGTCCAAAGCAAAACTTTTTACGGCGGTGTTGGTGTTTCATGTTGTTGTTGGCGGTGTTGTTGTTTTCTCCATTGGTTTCAAGTTGAAAAGTTAATTCGAAGCATTTAAACGCTGCTCGTTCCAGAAAACGCATGAACAACAATGAAAAATATATCCATACCAAACAAGCATGAGGATGGCTTATGAGGCATCTTACAGCCAACACATTCCGTATCGAAGTCGTTCTGATTGAGTGCATTCAGTAATAATAGCCTTGGTGGTGCGTACATCTGACCTTGCTGCTCCGACACCGAAAGATCTGCTTTAAAGAAGCTCATCTCATTGGAGCGATCAGACCCACACGCCCTACAAAACTGATGAATACTCATAGTGGACCCAACTTTTTTTACCCGCCCATCCCTTATTTGTCTTAATGGCATAGCAACTTAGAGCCACCGAGAACGGGTTTTGGTGTATCCCCTATAAAAGCAGCAGTGGATTGAATTGAATTCGCGGGGTAAAACCTTCATGCCTGCATGTATTTTAGACTAAAGGGAGCGGCTGAAACTTTCGTAGCATATATTACACAAACATGTAAGAAAAGTAGTGTGCTCCCTATAGAACAGAACACCCACGTCGGAAAAAGCAAGGCAAATGAAATGCGTAACTTTCATAGTGGTGAACAGGACGTCAGATGAGGTTTCTCCCGCACGTCAGGTGCTTCAAATTAAGATTCTAGGCCGAGCAGAAGGCTTTCGAGAACATTGGTATGACTGATCAAATCGTCAGCGTTTGGTTTCACAAAAACTGAAAGATGCAAAAAGATGGGATATCCCTTTAAGAGGCGCTTGTCAATGAACACGTTCCTACCTCAGTTTGACTTTGAACTCACCGCCAGGCAGCATGATTGCCCATCCTCCGAGAGCAGGGAGCGCCGTTTGCGGAAGGACAGGTGGGAAGCGAGACACACAAAAGCGGAAACATTGGCATGCGTCTGCAACTTCCGACTAGGCGTGGGCGTTTGGAAATGTTTGCTTTTTTAAACAGCGAGGTGAATCGGGACACCGTCTTCATTAATTCGTCCATTTTTTACATTCAACTCCTTATTCATCAGTGTCTAAATCTGCACAATGTGAGCCGAGGTCTAGCAATCACGTTACAACTTACATGGCGATGCGCATACTTAACGTGCGGCTTCGTCAATGTTTGATTGCTTGCCACAGCAAGTGTGTTGGCGCATCATGTAATCAAATTTTCCTTTGGATGGCCCCGTTTGGCCCTTAACTTTTTCCCGGCCTAGTGTTCTGTGCACGAAGAAGGATATCTTGCCCTTATCTGCGATCTATCTTTATTGACTAGTGCATCATATGTTTGCTATTTTATCTATGTTATGCTATCTTATTCATGTTATGTTATCTGCGTTTGTTATTTCCTTTTATCTGCGTGTTTTTCGACCGTATCTACCGCATCGTATGTGCACAGTACTGATCGTTGTCACTCGTCTTCGTTTCATTTGTTGAACTTGACTTGACTTTCTTTCCCTTTCTTCTCGCCATTACATGGCACAGTGAGCACAGCGTCCCGGATCTGACCAGATGTCTATCAGACTATCTGCGTACTTAATGCATGATTGTTGAAAGGAAAGGGCTAACGTTTTGTACGAGACTTAACGGGACGCGCACTCCTATATATTAGACATGTCCGATCCGGATTGCGATGCTAGTTGCTTGAAATCCCACTTCAGTAGCTAGCACGTATCTTCATGCCTAGGTTGCCCTTCAGTTCAAGTGGCATTCGAGGTTATAACGGGTAATAACACTTTTTGCAAAGCATTTCAATGCATCGGATTACGGTGAGTTACGCTTCGGCACGTGAGATATTCGCCACCGTCCATCAGCAGCGCCAAAGCTTCGACGCAGCGCTGCGGCGAATCCACGCGACCGTGCAGACTGATTAGCTAGACGACAGTACACTCATGGTCGCCATCATGCCTGATATGAAATAACGATGTTTACGGCTTTGGCCAGCGTTGTAGGCTTGAGATTTAGTTCTAAAAATTACTTGGTTTATGCTTTTAATTTCATAGCAATATACCTGCTGTTTGCTTTGGGCGATCCAGCTGTACTTGCTAGTGCAGACGAGTTCAACCGGGGGGTAATTTCTCCATAGGAAGGATGCGAGGGTCCCAGGGGAATTGCGATATAGTCAAATCGTGAAACCCTCGTATCCTCCCTTTGGAGCATGTCTCCCCCCCGTTGGGTTCATCTGCACTGGCAAGTACAGCTGGATCGTCCAAAGCGAACAGCACATATATTGTTATGAAATTTAAAGCACACATCAAGTAGTTTTTGGGAGGTAACTTCCAGCATACAACGTTGGCTAATGCCGAAAATATCGCAACTTCAAATCAGGCGTGGCGGCAACCATGAGTCTTGCAAAATGACTGTCCAGACAAGACCAGCCAGGTAGTCGCTGACTGGAAAGTGATATTGTCACATTCACCGCCATGTACAACAAGCTGACGAAAATGTCAGCTAAAAAAACCTAGAAAGATTTGTTCCCACAAGTACTGACAGCGGCCAGGATGCCGAAAGCTCAATCATATGATTTGGTTCGCGTTGCCTGCACACAGGCGCTTCTCTTCACCTAGCAGGCACTTTTATGATCTTGTTCTCATGAGTGGTGTAGCTATAGGTGATGCTTAATGTGCAGTGCTGTTTAGTTCGGAGGTCCTCATAATTCGATCGGTCCTCACGAGGTAATGGCCCAAAATGGTTGTGCGACACTATTCTAGTGCCATGTGCTTCGCTAACCGGCTCACATATTCATTGCAGGACATTTCTATGACGGCTTCTACAAGGTGCATTCCAAAAGAATGTCCTTTTTAGTTGTGGCGAAGGACCTACGGGATATCATATGCGTCCCATCCAGGGCAGACAGGCGACCGGCTCATCTTTTACCACAACGCTCCGCCTTATCGCGCCGCTGTTGTGACAGAAATTCTGGCTGTCAACGCTGCGCTGCTGAGACGGCCCCGTACGTTAAGGATCTCGCTCCGAGTGACTCCTGGTTGTCCTCTCGAGTGAAGGATCACCTTTGCAGGTATTATCTCCATCGCAGTCAGTACTGGGCTCGGCTATATCGCAGTATTGCAAACATGTCTCCATTCAGAGCTTCCGCGAAGCCAAATAGCGCCCTGTACATCGCTGAAAGAACTGCATTGAAAAAAACAGATAAATTGTTTCGAAAACGAGTCACCGGTAACGCGTGGCATGCGTTGTACACTGACAAACAGAGCTTACTTTTGGAATGCACTAGTACAGGCGGGAACACTCTCTTTAACAGACACGTTGAGGTAACGGTGAAGCGGGTCGCTGTCCGACCATCCCGGTAGCTTTTGCGTACACTGTTTGACAATCTCTTACGCTAGATGCGAGCATTTTGCACGCTTAAAATTAAACCAGCTTCCAACAGGCGTTTGTTTTTCTGTTTTTGTTTTTGTTTTTTGTTTTTGCTCAATTCGATTAACTCGACGACCTCAGCGCATGTTGGGCCAAAACGGGCTCAATGTCGCATATGCCACTCATGCAGTCTACCATAGGCATTTATATTTCCCAGGCTTATCAAACACTTAGAATAGCACAGTTTGTTGCAATCCATTTGTAATATAACGGTGCTTCATTTTGACTGTACGCCAGTGCAGTCCCGAGGGAGCTGGGAATAGGTACCGGATCCCCATGTCCGACGACGGCTCTTTTCTGGCACGGAGCCACGTCAGCGCGAGAGGTAAAGTTTAACCAGTGCTTTTGTTCGGATTTGTGGACCGGAAGAAGTCCCGTCACATTTGTGAGAAGTTCCTGCCAACGAACGAGCCAAATGTTACAAATCTTCCCTCTAAAATACCATGCCAGCCGCTCCAGAGGCCTCTGCATTCACGCTCCCTATCAATTCGGCGCCAAGAGGGATTGGCCGCGCGCTAAGCTGACTCTTATCTGTTCGTTGCTCGCTGCCAGCTGATTGCCAAGCCCTATAACGCGTGGACAATTGCTGCTGGTTTAAAAAGCCAACCGCGCTCTTCGCACAGACAGACCACTCACCGCTCAGAAGAACGTCAGATAATTACTTTGCCATCTAGAAAAAGGTTGATATGAAAGGCTTAACATTCGAAGATGTCATTTGATTTGCAAACAAAACATTACTAACATGTATTCCCACAAGCCATCATGCATTTTTTGTGGCCAGAGCTCCATACATCATGGGGCCAAGGCAGGTTTTCCAAAACGGGATGAACCCCGGTGGATGTCATATTAAGTGCTAAGCCTCTCAGGCAGACGCACTTAAGCCCGCCATGTGACACTTAAGAGACTCTTTGGTGCGTCATTTGACACCTCACAGGTCGTTTGAATGGTTTTGACACCCCAGTGGTGCTTTCGCGCCTTCCATAGTCAGATAATTAAATGTGCGTGGGTTTGTGCCGCATCCCATGTAATACGCATGCTACTTCGTGGCAAACGCACGCTGGTCTTTGAGCACCAAAGGTAAACGTACTTGCCAACTACGTTTGAGGATCTTCGGTTGGCTCAAACATTAGCTCAACTACCCGAAATTGGTGGCCTAGGCATCTCATACTACGCCGGCGTCGAAAACTGAACAAGCGCACGATCCGCCCACGTCTCAGCTACACCGATTCAGTTACAAGGCAATGGGTCCAACCAACCGAGGTTCAGAAGTCCTCAAATGTTGGCAAGATCATGCCCCGGACCGCGATCCTCAGCCAGCGCGAAGCATGAGGTGCCGCCATTGCCACACATAGAAGCACCCTGTGAGCCGGCCGTCTCCACTAAGATCTTGGCGGCGCAATAAACTGTGGACGAGAGAGCAGATATGCAAATTGCCCGACAAGACAAACAAGGTGCTTTGGATGCGGGCCGGGCCGCTCTGAGTGCCGCCTCACGCCGGCTAGCCGGGAGCGGGGTGCCACCGTGTGCAACAGCCGCCGCCCGGGCGGACGCGGACAGGGTCGCCGACCTGACCTGACCTGGGTCGCGGCCACGCGAGCCGTTCGGCCCCAGGACCGACCGGCGACCCCGCGCCGGCGCCCGGCGGTGCGCGACACCTCACCTTCGGGTTCAGATCGGAGCCCTGCTGCATGAGCGTGCCGATGGTGAACCAGAAGCTGTTGCTGATGCTGAACTGGTTCTCCATGACGTCGTCCTCGGCCGTGCACGGGTGCGGGTTCTGCCACTCGTACGGGCTCACGCGCGCCACCACGAACATGGTGAGCGAGACGAGCAGGTATGCAGCCAACACGTACAGCCAGATGTGCACGGCCAGTGGGTTCATGAAAGAGAAGAGCCGCGTCTCCTGACTGGTGGGCACCTGCGGGAAAGCCCCGGACAGCGTGTGTCACGCGCAGACGTGTCCCTTGCCGCGGCCAGAGGAAAGGAATCGGGTGGTGAATCTGACTGATGGCCGGCGAACACACGGGGAGGTCCGGACAGCGACACCTGTCGTGCCAAGGTGTCCTTCTTGTCAGAGTCTGGAGGATCGCACACAGTCGAGTGTTTGCCAAGGACCGAACGACGCGCGTTGCGACCTCATCCATGGAGAGCTTTGCTTTCTTCAAAGTACTTCTGGATAAGAGACGCTGCCCTGTGAAACATCCCGGACAGGCAATCCTAGACCATGTGCTAATCGAGCCACACCCATCGGCTCTCTTGTAGGAGTTCTACACCGAACACCCCACTCGAGCGTCTAAATGGACGATCTATATAGACACACCCACCAACCAGACCGCGCTGGGGTCCAAGAGTCGTTTTACGACGCACATGTGAGATGCGTCTATCCACTCTACAGGAGCCCGTTTCCTGTTTACCGTCGCCATCGTGGCGTTTTGAGGGCGCATTCTACCGGCAGCATTAACCGGTGGAGTGTGTGTGTGGGTGTGGGTGTATGCCGGCGCGTCAATTTGGCGCTGGCGGCGGGCGGCGCGGCGGGCTGGCGGACGTGAGATTGGGGCGATGCCACGGCGGCGGCCCGCCAGCCCAGATGCGATCGGACGGCTAATGCCGCGCGCCCGCCGGGGCACAACTTCTGCTGACGGAGCTCTCCCGGGCCGGAGGTAAACTTCGCCTGGGGCCACGAGGCCTGGCGCCCGCTTTATGCACCGCAGAAGGGTCTAGTCTGGGTGGCGGGCGGAGTGTTTGCCGCCGCCTGCTAGACACGATCGAGAAGAAGGGTTGCAAGACAAGAAGTGCATGTCGATCTTGATCACATCAGCAGTGCACGTATCAAAAAGTGACTTCCCGACCGGAACAAAAGGCTGCTGTGGCAACCTATCTGGCAAGAGCAGAGAGCAAGCAGCACTCCCACTTTTGAGATTCCAGTCCATCAGTCCATACCTGACTGCATCCAGAGGATGCACAGGCAGGTTTCCTGTCTTACGATGAATGCTAGTTTTTTATGAATCTTTAGTTTGATTTCAAGGCTGTTCCTGGGGTCATGGGGTCAAGCCTGTTCATGGGTTCCTTGTTCCGAAACCGGGACCAAGGTCCTCAAAAATAAATCTTAGGAGCAGGACACATGTCTGATCGCGAGCAGAAACTGACGGCTTTGCCATGTCGGTGATAACTTGCTTTTTAGTATTATACAATGCGCATCTGTTCGTTCCGTTCATGTCTCTGTTCTTTCATGCACGTGATATATCGCGCTTGTGCACTACAGGCGTATCGATCGATAACTTAGGATTGCCTCAGAAAATATAACTTATGATATACTGAGGTTTTTACTTCCACGATTATGATATTGTGTTTAGAGCGTGCCCGCCCATTGCAGACCATCTTTAACTTTGGTTGCCTTAAACATTTTGGCTCTGTGTTGGCTTTCATCTCGGACGGACTCTGTCCCATTGGATTTTTCGCCTTGTGTCATCGAGCCAGCCATATGTACAAGACCGATTTTAAAAACTCTGCCATAAATTTTACCGACACCTGCTAATCTCAACGCCATATTTTGCCGCCGATGGTGTCCTACAAGCAATATTAATCGTATGGTTCCAAAACGACCAGACTTTGTTCTGGGCACTTCAGGAGTCTAATACCAGTGTTGTAATGATTTGTAATAATCGTTGGAAGAACCCCTATTCCCTTCTGTGGGTGCGCTACATACACCGCCATGCAACACGGAGGTCCAACACTCCTACAGGCCCACGTCATCCAAGCTGGCAGGCAGGCGGCATCCTCGTCATCACCAGCGGCAGCAGGAGGGGTACGGCGAGACGAGGAGCAGCGGCGGTGCGCGCGCGCGCGGGTCGGCCGGTCACCTGCGGGAACACTCCGGAGCCCTGGCGCAGCAGCGTCCCCGTGACGAACCACATAGTGTTGGACAAGCCGAACTGGTTGACAGGCGGGCGGCGGCGCTGCAGGCGCACCCGCTCGTACGGACTGAGCCGCGCCACCAGGTACAGCAGCAGGGAAACGGCCAGGAAGGCGGCGCCGGCATACAGCCAGACCCGGCTCTCCAGGGGACTGAGGAACACAAACAGCTTCGACTCCTTCGATACCTGCAACGACGGCCGACTGGTCAGCGGAGACGGCGGTGAGACGGCGGTCAGAGGTCAGGTGAGGCAGAGGGACCACCGCTGGTGGGTGGGTGGGGAATAGCTCACAGACAATACTAACCGTGTCTCCAAACAGTGACAGATCACACCATGCAGATAATAAAGAGTACACGATCAGCTTCAGCGCCGGATTGCAACACATAGCTAGGTTCACAAAATAAAACTAGGCATTTTTCATGACACGAAGTAAGCTATTTTGAAATCCCTAACGACTGGGATAAATGGCTGAAGCCAAGCTTCTTTCGAGCGTGAAATGACTCTGGGATCCGAGACGACTAGACGCACCAATCATCATCACTATCCGAGTCATTCCTGATTAATTTACCTAACTGTTCGATCTAAAAGAACACCTTGCAGTTTAGGGCTAATACAAATTTGTAACATTTGAAACTGCTCCTAAATGCATGCCACAAAAAATGCTAGCCAAGTGTCTTGGTGAATAGTACTAGACCTCCTACGCTCCGTTGCATGAGGCTTAGTACTGAACACAGCGCTTGCGTTCGCCTCTGTTCGTCCCCAGGATGCTACCTCCGGCCACCTTGGGGTTGTTACTCGTCGGACACCACATGTGCACCTGTCTTGGGGTTCTTTCTTACCCGTTGGACATAACATGCGCACCTCTCTTGTCTGGTAACTTTCCGGTTACTGACAAATGGTGACAACGATATCGCTGTAGATACGTTTTCACCATAGTTATGAGTACATTTGCCAACAGGAAATGACAACGGTAGTAGGTACGTACAACTGCAATGTAACTTTCAACTTGTTGCATCTCATGATACCTAACGTTTTAAGGCAAAACAAAATAAAAACAAAACTAACATTGATCTGCCGGCTTGTTTACCTACATCCTTAAAGAATGTGCAAATGCATGTTCCTTTTGGTTGTGTGTTCGCTGCAGGCACAACAGACACCAACTGCATCGGTTCAGGCGTGGTAGCTGAATTAAAATAAAAACCAGCTATATCCTGGTGGAGAAGAGCCGGAAAATCGCTGTGGGCAAACTGCCGCATTAACTCCTCAAATGTGGAGCATTCCTTTTAAACACATGAAGCAGCATCGAATGTTTCACCCAGGGTGCAGCCTATACATGAATGCTATTTAAGAGACTATTTGTGCCTTAAAACTGCAGATACATTATGCATCCGTGGTAATACATTTCGTCGCACAACGCGAGCAAACCTTTCCGTGAAGACTCTTCGTGGTACTCCACAGCACCATGGCATCTTTTCTAGGTTTCATTGCAACCCGGCGACAAATACATCCTATGAATTTTAACTGGTCGCCCGACTCAATGGCAGATCGGCGACAAATCAGTGCATTTCCTTCAGCACGGACGGTCGACAGATTCGTCGTTTTTAACAGCCGACCCTCAGTGTCCCGAACTAGATAGTATAAAGTATGAGAAATTTAGACATGGGGATTCATCTGGCCGCGGGGCATTCCTAATCATTGCGAATCGATTGATATGAGGTGACCGGTGACTTTCAATGCACTGCAGCTTTACATGTGTCATTCGCGTTGTGGTGTCATAAATGCGTGCCTAGTATTTAATTTTTGGCCTTGCTAACTTCGTTGGCGATGCCGCGATTCAGCAACCTGTCGTCAGGCATTGACAATTCGGGGTAAGTCGAAAGGAAAATCCGATCAAGGTAGAAATTCGCCTGTGATTATCCAGACCTCCTCTTTAAGACAACAAAAAGGCTGTTGATTCACTGTAGCCGGCACAAGTGACCAGCCCTTCTTCATTTGAAAAGAACCCTAGGTTTAATGTTAGGGTTTGATGGCGCTCCTCATGAAGGGGAATGACAGGAGGTGATGATTTTCCTGAAATGCCAATTTGTGTCATTGTTGCTTTTTTCCTGATTGAGAGTGGCTGCCAGTCACATAGATCTTTAAATCAGGGGTATTCCTTCTTTCCTATTCAGTTCGAGGGTCCAACCCTCTCCCCCTAAAAGTGCGCTAATTTGGGAGATATCCAAATTTTGGGGGTATATTGCACAACTTTTCACTGCTCCCAAACCTGCCTTCAACAACCATGTCCCTACTTGAAATGCAATTATTTAATAAATGTTTTGGTAACATGTAAGCAATCATTCACAGTCCAACATCTTGCTAGCATGAATCTTGGTTGTTAGAAATTTATATGATAGTCAATGATGTAGGCCATGGGAAGACAATGAAAGTGAGGAGTGGGGGTGTAGCAAATGTAGGTAATCAGGAGGGAGGAGGACATGTTTAATTGTCATCTTCCTCTTCACTAAGAGTTTTACTTCAAACAGCGGGAGGTTTGTGCTATCGTTCAACTGTCCTAGAACGTCAGTGGAAGGTCGGCATTTGGTCTGAGAACGATGTTGGCTATTTTCCGATGATAGCACCCCTACTGTAACAGGAAAACTCTGGAAGTCATTCACTGCAGTGCTCATGCATATGTAAATTTTCTTTGCAGGTGTGAGCATGACATGACATGGAAGCAAATATGATGCATAACATTAATGCTTTGTCCTAACATTGAACTGCGAAATTGATGGAAACCTTACCATAATTACTGTACACATTAAGCACAAGTTGGGAAGGCAGACAGCCTTTCCTGTAGGAAGACTACATTGATAGTAGAAATCAGTAGTTTGTGTGGTGGTGGCATATTGACAGAAGCGTCAATTTTTTGCATGATTAGGGTGGCGGGGGGGGGGGTTTAGCAACCCATGGAGCATGGTCAATAAATAAGCCGCGTAAAATTTTGTTGTTTATTAGTGTTTTCGGGCGCGTCGACTGCACTGGTCATTTTGCGTCCAAGCCTCGTAGAAGATGCTTTTGTGTTAAAGTCAGCTTTTCTCATATATTTTTGTAATTTTCCAGACAGAAATATTGGTTGGGGAGGAATCAGCAATGAAGGGCTCACCCCAACATGGACATTGGGGAGTATCACAGAAATTAATTTGAATTGATACTCCTGCATTATGCCCAACAAACCTCACATGTAAGCTTAGATTTGCGTACTTCTTGCATGCAAAGGGCAACTTTGGCTTGCTGATTGAATTTCTACCAATGTTTCGATGTCGGTAATGAATTGTGTCATTCTGCAAGAGCAGCTGATCTTTTCATGAGGTGAAATGCAGATTTTTAACCCAGAATATAAAGTAAATAAAAAAGTATGACAGCCAACAATTTAACCCTAACCCTGATTCGCCGGTCTGCCGACTGGTGGAGTTGGGTGGAGGGAGGATTCCCTGACGTTTGCAACCTAAGAAAGGTAGAGCCTCACAAAAAAACAAACGAACGGTGAACTGTCTTCAATGATTGATTTGGTGACTAGTAAGAAGTCTTCTGTTGTTAGTTGGCCCCACTTAACCAAGCCTAAAGTCAAATTTTTCTAAAAACCAAACCACATCGACTTTGCACGCTTATATATATATATATATATATATATATATATATATATATATATATATATATATATACGAATCCATGCAGTGAAGTGACATGAAACATAATGAGGCGTGTCCCTTGTTTAATTTTCGGTATAATGGCATGTAGTTTTATCTGTTTCGAGCCCACGTTCATAATGTACGGTTTCGTTAACAGTACCAGCCCTCTGCGCGCGGTCCGCAGAATCGTCGATTTGCGCCCGTCGCACCGGCCGGCCCTGTATCATTTTGCAATGCTCGTAAGGAGACGTCGCTGCTCTGAAACCAGAATCGCTCCGGACACTTTTTTGGTGTCAACGCGCGCGCAATGGATGCCCCAGAGGCTACTAAACATTTGAGCGAGACTGAACAAAATGCAGCACTGGCATCCTCAGAAAACTGTAGGGGATGGGGGGTCGTATTGTCCCCCCCCCCCTTCCTGTCACGGCGAGTATCTTGTTCAGGAAGAACAAGTCGCCTGATGTAAAGTAACTAACAAATTTCGGTACAATGTACTTGTTGGGGCGCGGCGAAAAGCGCCCACCAGTCAAAACGTGTCGCGCCGGCTTGGGGCATGCCTAAGGTATGGTGGATAGTTTGATGACGGTTGAGATGGGGCTCAAAGCGCATACGTCATTTTCATTAGCAGGCATGACCTAGAAGAGACCTGCATATTTGACGTCATTCACCGTTCTACTTCCCACTGGTTCAAAATCTACCATGCATGCTGCTGCCCAGGCTATCGAGGTAATTCGCTCTTGTTTTTTGTTTGTGGTCGAGGAAAGCAAATCCAGCCGTAGATCGAGTTTGATCGTGAGATCCCGGCAAGCCCCGAGGGTAGAAAAAACCCTCTTGTGATGGGGTATGTTATAATCTGGGACAGGTGCTCCCTTTTTACTAACAGCAGCACTTGTCCTGACCTTTGCTGAAGGACAGAGTATAATTGAGCGTTTCGGTCGTAAGTAGTATATTGAAAATTGCAGTGATGAAATATACTTTGAGTGATTTTCTGATAATCGATGACGCTTCTGCGCAGGAACTTAATGACCATTTTGTCCTCTAATATTGCGTCACGCTACCGGTGAGCATTTGTCGTCAAAAATTTAATGGGCGACAAAAAGGACACTTTCACCACCCCTGGAAGCAGATAAGGCCTGCGCGACGCGCCCTTCAATCCTGGAACTGTATGGGCGTCGAGGTCTTCACGGTCTGCGTGAATCGCTTTTTTCAAACTACGCGGCTGAGTCTGCCAGTTGGTTACAGGACTTTCCGTTAAGGATGAGTACGATTATGAGCAAATACACAATTTTTAAATGCGGTATAAGTGTGGGTGCCAACAGAAAAAAACGCTTTAAAAACGCAAAAAGCGCAGTTCGTTAGTTTGTCATTTGGTAATTTTCAGATAAAAGTTCAGAGTCCATGAAAACAAACTTGCGCAACACAAATTGCTGCAATATTTTCAAAGGCCCCACGGGTGATTTTCAACATTTTCGTGCAAACGTCTTTGTAGTAAAAAATCCCAGTGGAACAACCCTCCCCCCCCCCCCGCATAAAAACAGCCCACATAAGCCGGGAGTCCGATACAAGCACCGTGAGACATTTCCAATGCTCATGAATATCTTCTTCGAATACGATTCTACGTCATCTAGAGTACTGTAATGTGAACTTATGGAAATCGAGACCGCTTAGTGCAAAACGAAAGGGAAGGAAACGGTGGAGTTTAGGCAATAGAAAATAAGGCCAGCCACATCTTCTTCAGCTTTTAACAAAGTAATCATTAATCGCGTTGCTGTTGGCTATCCCAATCTATCTATGATCCTAGTATTGACCTAAATCACGTAACGGCAAAACTAATGCGCTTGAAAACAAGAATGCATACATCATTGGAAAGAATTTCCAAAGTTGTAAGAAGTGGGTTCATTCACTATACCAGGAAAGCATTGATCTGACTTGGCCTTAACGTAGCTATGCTACATTAATATACAACCTTATGTCGGCTGTTTTGTAGGGTAGTACTTTATCTTACTGGCATTTGATTATCCACCAGTGGAGACGTTTATGACTGGTGACGTCTCGAGCTCAGGGATTTATCTCAAGCGTTAGAAAGCAATTTAGGGCATAAATACCTAATCTTCCTTGATAACGACAGACGCATGTTGGAAATGGTAGCATTCATTTTTAGTAAGCTATGGCACCAGGGGTATGGTTTCCTACCTCTAGGACATTGGGTCATACCAAGATGTCTAGTACCAGTAGTGGCATGATATATATATATATATATATATATATATATATATATATATATATATATCTGAATAAGCGAATCTATGTAACGTTGTTAACTTGTTTAACCAGCACCTCCTAACATGTTGAGGGGCGGTAACGGTCAATGGTAAACTATGAAAAATGTTAAAATCTACGATCGCCAAGCCTTTCTTGGTTATAACGATGCATTTCATGAGAGCGAAGAAGATTTAGATGAGAACATATGAGTAATAACTTCGCTAAGAGGTATACTTAGTGACTCCCGTCATATTCCAGATTTACTTCACCACGCCGTAAGCGAAATCCAAGACATCTTTTAAAAAAAAAAACTCGTTTTATGGGTTCCAATCCGGCGCACGTGTGCTGTGGCAGCTCCTCTGACAAATTTATTTTTGGAATCAACCGCATTTATGTCGTATCCGGAAGCAACTACTTGTAGATAGTCGACCAGTTTGGGGCCGTGTTGCCATTGGAGTAGGCGTTGCTAGTGGTTCTTAATCTTCAAGATCGTTATAAGATTAGCATCTTGAGACACTGGCTTCTTAATCTTCAAGATTGTTATAAGATTAACATCTTGAGATGCTATCTTCGGACCTCGCGTAACTACACTGCTATCATTTTTGTTATTCCTGTTTGGCCCTATTGCCACTTCAACTCACTTTCACAACTGCATGCCTTTCAAGCTGAAGTAGAGCACGCTGTCTGCACAAAGATCGTTCACAAAGCACATTTCTTCCAGTCCAGATTTTGAAGTTCATGGCCGACTACATGGATATGGATTAGGCTTAATATGGCTAAACTTTGAACGACGTGGAAATGTTGACGACCAGCTTAAAATCGTGTTAAAAGTGTTTGCATTTTTGACATGAATATGACTGGCGAGACTGAAAGCGCACTCAGGCAAGGGGTCAATTTGACACCCCGAATATCGTCAAAAATTAGAGCTCAGTGGCGCGGTGTAGTTACGCCGAGCTGTGTGTAGCTATAGGAAATTGATTGCCGATATTACGGTATAAAATCAAATGTACCTCCAAAGGTAGCTGACATATCAGAGGTCAAAGACAGGGCATGGCTGCTAGCGAAGGCAAATTCCTAGGCAATCGTAGAATGTCATGCGACAATGACGTGTTGGACAGTCATATGACTTTGAGATGGTTGGTTAGACAATAAGGCTACTGAAATTGAAATTGAGACATTTATCATCGATCTAGAGTCAGGCTAAAGTTCAGACCAAGACTGAAAAGCGCACATTATTGCTTAAGCCGCTCGTTTTTACCCGAAAGCAGCGCGGGCGATTGCTCCATTGCGACCGTCAGACGTGCTTGCAGTGTAATCTTACAGGCGGACCTAGATTTATCTTTAAGGAAATCAGGCCCAGGCGTGAACCGCCAGCACTGGACTGTGCCTTGTTTTCATGCTTTAATCATCGTATAACAGTGTTTGCCTCGTGTATTTAACCCCGACTCTAAGGTATATTGTGCTGGCAGGATGACTTTCAGCGTTATGTGACATTTTGTTTTGGTTTTGCTTCGTAGGAGAAACGAAAGCTAATCACATTTCACAATTATGGCAAATGTCTCGAGCATTTTATTGACAGGACACAACTTGCAGAAAAGTTGGCACTTAAATGTTCTTTTTTACCCCAGCTAAAACGAGTGTGAAGTATATTAAACAGCCCATTCGACCGTCCAAAGCCTGTTGGTTTTCCGTCAGTGGAGGGAGCCCGGCCCTCACCCGTTCATGACCAGCGCGACCAGCGGCGAGCGCTGATCTGGCCGCCCTCGCAAGTCTCCGACATTAGACCGTCCATCGGCCTGTAACACACAACACGGCCCTTCGCCGAGCATGCCTATCACGCCGTGTTACCTCTCTACCCTCGCGTCTACCGTCTCACCTTGAACAAGATGGTGATGCCCAGGTTCATGAATGGCTTGGTGAAGTCGATGACACTCTCTCTGGCGTAGTTGATGGACATGGAGCCCACTGCCAGGTCTGCTTTCTGTGGACATGGCAGCTTTGTACCATACGAGACACACACTCGCAGAGCATGAAGGATGAGTAGCCTTAAGATGTAGTGAACAGACTTGATATTCTACAGTTTGCGCACAGGTTGTAGCGGAGTGTTAACTTGAAAATTATCGTTTTTTTACAACAGTGCTGAGGGTAACGACAGCCTCACGGAACATATTACACGTGGAGCAGCAGGCACGTAGCCACAATTTTCTCCTAACACACAAATTTTGACCGAATTCCTGCGAAGGTCGTTCAGATATAGCATAAACCTCAAGAGGGGAGGGCGTGACGTGCCTGGCTTACGTGGCTCCCACGTGAGCGACGCACGCTACAACCAAGTGCAGCACTAACAACGTCTAGTGGTGGTGAGGTCAACGAAGCAAACAACTGCTAAATAAACGGCTACGAAAAGCACCGCCCTCAAGTTAAGTCCAATTTGGAGTTGCATGGTTTATTTTGAGTTGACAAAAACGTCCCACAAAAGCATGACAGCGCAAGATGCCGAGCGGGCGTTCTTTCAACGCATCTCCAACGTGCCTGTCTATGGGTAAAATATTTGATAATCGATGTAAAGGAGAGTAAGCGCACAAGCATTCATGCACTGGGAAAGCTATCACATTCATGTCCACTAGGTGAAAGATTGCCATACATAGGCTGCCACCAACGTTTGGCGTGGAAGCTATGCGGCACAAATACTCGTGCAATGAAAAACGAGCGTTCTTCGTCAGAAGCATTATCATATTCTTGCGATTATCATTGTTACATATGTTACGTTATATTACAATTGTACTGAAAATATGAATGCAGTTGCTCGCAGGCTCGGCAACAAAGCAAAGTGTAAGGCTCATTTTAGTTACCCAACCTGTTCGACGACTTGCACAATGAAACGGTTCGTCAGGCGGCACTGTTAACTCTCGTTTGCCCGATCGCCGGCCCCATTATCCGTTGCTGGCGTAGTTTTAGCAATGCGAGGTTGAAGCACACGACGGCCTAAACTCGAACATATGATCCGTATTTATTTTAGCAGGACCTGGAAGCGAGACTGCATCGCCAGCTCGTCGAACCATCGCGCCGCACTAGGACCAGCTTCAATACGCACATGCAGCACGTCCTCCGCACGTACGCAGCAGGGGGCGGGATGCAACGAACACCCTGGTTAACCTTAGGTCTTGCGACAGCAGGCATGCCGCGTCTAACAGCCGACAGGTCAATTTCACTCTGAGCAGAGCATCACTAACACCGAACATTCAGCAGCCAGGCCCTGTCTCCCTGTGGGAGGGGGGGGGGGGGGGGCGTGCCGCGTCGCCGGCGTCGGCCGCTACCTTGTCTATCAGCTGACGCACGAGGCCGTTCCACTCGCCCGTCTCGGGGTCAGGCAGGCCGTAAATGCCGTCCGGGTTCAGCATGATGGTGTAGTTAAAGCCTACAAAGTTGGCTACGGAGCGCAGCAGGTCAATGCAGAACCCTTCGAAGCGGTCATTGCCGGTGAGGTTGGTCCCCTGGCGAAGCATCACGTACGGACGGTCCTGCAGGACAGGCGACATCAGCGGCTGGTCTGACCTAGGCACAGCCCGGGGCGAGATCAGAAACAGGCCTGACCTCGGCACAGCCCGGGGCGACATCAGCGACTGGTCTGACCTAGGCACAGCCCGGAGTGAGATCAGAAACAGGCCTGACCTCGGTACAGCCCGGGCCGAGATCAGCGGCCGGTCTGACCTAGGCACAGTCCGGGGCGAGATCAGACACCGGCCTGACCTCGGTACAGCCCGGGGCGAGACCAGACACCGGCCTGTCCTTGGCACAGCCTCGGGCTAGATCAGACACCGGCCTGACCTCGGTACAGCCCAGGGCGAGATCAGCGGCCGACCTGACCTTGGCACAGCCCAGGGCGAGATCAGCGGCCGGGTACAGCCTGGGAGAGATCAGACACCGGCCTGACCTAGGCACAGCCTGGGGCCAGGTCAGAGGCCGATCTGACCTTGGCACAGCCCGGGGCGAGTTCAGACACCAGCCTGACCTCGGCACAGCCCGGGGCGAGATCAGACACCGGCCTGACCTCGGTACAGCCCGGGGCGAGATCAGACACCGGCCTGACCTCGGCACAGCCCGGGGCGAGATTAGACACCGGCCTGACCTAGGCTCAGCCCGGTGCTGGTCAGAGGCCTGTCAAAGAAGTGACGGAATGACGGATCCCGTCTTCATTGGATCACCCAACACGTTGGAGGAGAGGATGGGCGAGACCAACCAGACACTGCGCCAGAACGAAGGATTGTGACGGCAAAGAGGGACGTGACCAGATTGCAATACCGTCCTCTGCCAAATACTGCCAAAGACGGCAACGTTCGGCGCCGGTCATAGGACAGAAAATGTAGCCTGCTTAGCTGGCGCTGATCGCCTTACTGGTTGTGGATCATCCAACTGCCTACAGGTATGATTATAAATCTAACGTAGGCATGATTCGGGCATTTCATTCACACAATGCGAATACGAAACGTTTATGTTGATACTTCAACCGTGTTATGGTTCCCGTAGATTATGCATTGCTGTTCTGCATACAAATCGGCACAACGTCAGAGCCAGAAGCAAATTTGAACGCCACGCCACCAAACGCAGGGCGGCGTGTCATCCTGACAGCGTCCCACCCAGATTGGCTCGTCGGCTCTCCCAGGGGACGCCCTGATCTCGGACGACTCGACTCGGCCGGCACCCGCTCCAGATCGTCCTAATCGTGGCTCATCAGAACAAGAGGTCCGGTATCCGCGACCTTTTGTCGCAAAACGCCCGAGCCTTGAGCGGCCTTGCCACCCAGATCACGTACTGTCCCTCTCCCCAGGTCCAACAAATCACGGTTCGCCGCGGGGGCGCGCGACACCCAATCTCGGGCCAGGCTGCAGCGCGCCCGCCTTGTGCACCGCCTGTCTCCCTCCGCCGCCGACCCGAATACGAACGGCGAGACCGTGCCTCTTGCGATAGGCCGCCGCATGAGCCCCACACAGCCTGGAACCGAAAACAGTACAGAAGAAACTTAACGTGACCAGGCTTTGCTGAAAGAAAGCAGTATTTCCCGAAAGAAGTCCATCTGCGATCGATGCCTACACCTTTGGCTTCTACGACCTCTGCTACGTGCCGCGCCTGCTATTGAGGGAAGCTAAACATGGTGCACTCGAATGATACACGCCATCTGCAGGACTCTGCAGGGTCTGCAGCGCCGCACCGGCGGCGCACACGTACGCCTTTCACCAGCTCGTGAACCATGCCGTCCCACTCGCCCGTCTCCGGATCGCGCGCGCCGTAGCGTCGATCGGGCACCACCTCCATGATGTACGAGAACCCGGCCATGTCGGCGATCAGCTCCAGGAGATCGATACAGAAGCCGTAGAAGCGGGCGTTACCCGTGTAGTTCTTGCCGGGTCGCATCATCACGTACGGCGTGTCCTGGAACCCATGGCGGCGCTGGTGGCCCGCCCGATACCCCTGCTCTTCCACCTCCCTCCCCATTCTGAGGGGCTGACACCATTCTTCGGTCGGCAGATGTCGCCGCGGTTTGGCTGGCAGACATCCTCTGGCTTGGCCAAACCCGCTAGTAAAAGGCCTTGTTTGCAAAGCGCGGCACCGCAAAACACCGTAAAAGCATCAACCTTGATTTGAGTAAGTGGCAAAAAACGCAACTAGGATTTACCGCGACATTTCATAGCACAACTGAGCTGAAACTGAAAACGCGACGTAATCGTGAGTGGCATTTTTATATTACTTTGGAGCGACACCTGGCCAGGCAGAGCAATGACCGAAACGCCACGTGCAAACACGCCGCGAGCCCGACATATCACAGCATTCGAAATATAGTGGTCGGTACGCCAGTGTTCTTCCGTACGACCTCAGGATTACGCTGCCTGGACCTGAGACGTCAACGCTGGTCGTGCCCAGCCTCTGGTCGTGGGCATTGATTTGAGACCGTCAACAAACGCCTCTGGTTGTGAGCGTTGATTTGGTCATCGAATGCCCCTGGTCGTGGGCCTCGATTTGAGACTGTCGTCACATGCCTCTGGTCGTGGGAAGTTTGGTGCAATACTGTCTACCTTGTACACCCACAGAGTTGCCTCCAAGGCCATAACGTCTGGGGTGTCAGAAACGAGAAGCACGAGCGGATACGCATATGCACATTGTTTGTGATCAGAGAGAACGTTTTGTGCACAGGCCCATAAGTCTTACATCACCGTTTAAATTGTTGATGATTATTCTGAAACAATGCCCCTTGGAACACACCTATGCTGTCGGTATGAAAGTCAACAGTTTCTTTGCAGTAGCTCGGTGCTGAGATTGAAGCAGATGCAGACTTTGTCGGCCTATGTATTACTATTCTGGATTGGGTGGGTGCCACAGAGGGTAGGTGGACATCAGACAAATTGAAATGCTATCTTCACAAGCCACTGCATCAGCCGTCAGAAGAAATACATTCGCATTGCTGGTAATACCAGACAACCTTGCCAGTTGATTAGCCGTTCCTGTCAGGGAGCACAGCTTCAGCACAGCCCATCTGTGAGGTAAAAGAGATTGGACATATCTGCCTGGCACGTCTCGTGGCTCCCGAAGTGCACCGGCGGACGCTCACCAGGTTGGTGGTCACCACCAGCGTGACGTTCAGTGTGCCTGGGTCGTAGAAGGCCTCGTAGTCTGTGATGTTGACGTGACCCGCTGGGGTCCACTCGCCGACCTGCGGCAAGGTCAAACATGCAGCACAGTGAGCAGACTGATGATGGGGCTCCGTCAGCAAAAGAAGTTAGTTAGGCGTTCTCAGGTGAGCATCGCAAGTACAGTCAGTGCAGATGGTAGATCGCACCAGATAGCACAACTCTTCACTACGTCACAGGTCCTGCAGTCGTATTCCTGGCCTAGCTGACCAGCTACGTCGCTGCGTTACTCACTGCGTCACTGCATCACTACGTTACCCACTACGCCGCTGCGTCACTGCAAGCTACCATTCTGAAAGATGTCTGGAGCGCCTCGCCTCATCGCACCATAGCTGGCCCCAGTCATTGGTGACATGGCCCACACAACGGCTGACACTAAGGCTGCAGCACAGATAAATCAGCAATCTATGTGGAGTCGCCGGGAGGCATCACGCGCCGCCCGCCTTTCCCGTAGTGTTCCGTATGACACTGGTGACGCGCTCACGCAGCTCGCCCCAGGCCGCTTGCTTAGATGTGCCTTCCGACCACTGAGCGACGACCACCATAGCAAATGCGAAGCTCCAGTACTGAATCATAACAAACAACGGAAGCACGTGCGTGGCAGTGCCGGCAATGAACGAGTGGCTTATCGTACTGCGCGAGGCAGACACAGTCTCGCCGTCCTCACAAGGCAGACACAGTCTCGCCATCCTCACAAGGCAGACACAGTCTCGCCATCCTCACAAGGCTGACACAGTCTCTCCGTCCTCACAAGGCAGACACAGTCTCGCCATTCTCACAAGGCAGACACAGTCTCGCCATCCTCACAAGGCAGACACAGTCTCGCCATCCTCACAAGGCGCAATCCTGGCAACACGCTGAGCCGATTCTCAGAAAGACAACAAGAATGACTTTGTTGGCGCGGCGGTCTTCTCCAAAACAAAAATTGTCCCACGTATCCTTTCAATAGGTACCTCTCGGCATATGTGTGACTGTTAATTATCACTTCTTGCTTAGACATGACATACGCAATATCACGCGAACTTTGTGGAGCAGCCGAAGTTGTCACAACCGCCGTCCCAAAGCCAGTCGACATCTCGTCCCCTCTGGCCCAGCCGCCCGTGTGAGGCCGTCTTTGTGGGCTGTGTCATCGAAGACGCGCAGCAGGTCCTATTTCTTGCGGCGGCACTTAAACGCCGCGAGCACAGCGTGACGCACCCGGGGCGCGTTACCAGCCAAAGGGGGCGGTGCCGTCAGATGCGGCATGAGATTGCATGACCTTCAGCAGACCCGACGAAAAGGCATCCTGGTATTTGAAATTTGATCTTGCTCTAAGCCAGCACTCCTCAGTCTGTGGTGTCGTGACCCACGTTTGGGGTTGTTCAGCTTTGGGCTGGGTCGCATGGACGCAAATTGCGCTTTTTGCCGAGGTGACGAAGGGCGTGTCAGAAATACGATGAGAAGGCTTAATTTAACTTGTGCGGAGTTCTGAATTGCGGTATTTTATTCAAAACTGATCAGAACAGTGAAGAATACCGACTGCCGTGTGCTAATCGATTGTGAATCTACCAGCTGTTACGGTACGAATAAACTGAAGGTAAGGCATATGAAAATATATCTTTTGCAGTTAAGAAAGCGGCATTTGGCTGCACTTAACCACCGTCCCGTCTGATGTTTGACGGCCTTTAATGTACTATGCACTTTTATGTTGCAAATAATCGATCTTACCTGTACCATGACGTACTGGTAAGACAGGCGCATCAAGCAAACGCTGGTAACAATAATTTCGCCAGGCAAACATCGGAATGTTGGAATCAGATACTACAATTAGGCTTATTCTTCGTCGAATGACCAGGAGAACGGTGATATAGATATATTAATGATGAGTCAGACATGCCCATGCCAAAACGATTAAAACGATAATAAGGAGTGTTTGCCTTTGCCAGTCCACACACCTTTGTTAAAAAGATTATTATTAACAATTATCTGCTCATAATTATTTTTTCGCTTTGACAAAGGTATATAGCCGACATATTATATCCATCTTCCCTTTCTCCTGGCCATAGGAAGGACTAAGCTAACAACACTGTCTTATCTATTTGTATAATACTCCTCCCAAATGCATTAACAGCTTAAATATTGGTATCCTTGACGCTATCTAGCACATGTTTTAGTACTCGCGACCACAAGAATCGTCTTGAAATGTCCAATGGTCTTACAACACATCCTAATACTTACTGGATAACGTTGCTTAACCGGTACCCACTAATAGTTTACTAGTTGCCACGGAAAAATCCATAACATATATATATATATATATATATATATATATATATATATATATATATATATATATATATAATATATATTTCAGCAACGCAGAGGCAATGTCGACCGTTTTGCAGGCCACCACCACTACCCCACTTGCATCTGTTCATCTCTACATTGCGTCGCGTACGGCCTCGAACCCTCAGCGCTCGACCCGTCCGCTGCCGGAAGTGGCTGAGGAGCCCGCGGGCGGCCCGTGCTGCTGCACTCCCGCCACATGGCCGCACTGACTGGTAGGTCAAGCAAGCGAATACGAAGTAGGACATGGCGGCATGCCACGTGTTTTAGGCCCGTGGTGGAAAGCTTGAAACTAAGGTGGGAAGTTTTCACCTTGTTGCCTACCTTTTGTCCTCGGTTGCCCTGAAATTGAAGTCTGGTCGTGCGAGGGCTCGTACAGATTATTTTAGCTGTACTGCTCCCTGAACCTTTCTTTCAAATATGGCTATTTTTAGCCTGTTCAACGATTTAATCCAGGCAAAATACGAGTTCCTACAAGGCATGCCAGATCTACCGGCTTTGATGAAAAACAACACAATTCTCACAGATTATTTCCCTGCAGTGTAAATTACGTCATTGCCCGCGCTTTACCGGCCACGCCAGGTAGTATTTCGATAACAGATCACCTTTTCCCAAATTACACTAACGAAACACATGTCACGTGAAGGGACCAAAATCCGAGGAGGAAAATCATTGCAATCAATCATTGCAATCATTGAAAATCATCAAAATCATTGGTAGTGCACATGGCAAGTCGTTTTTTTCGCCCTACGCTACCCACCAACTTAAAGTCGTTCCTGCGCCACTGAAAAAGGTGCACCACCAATTCCAACACTCCATGTCCGTTTTGGATCACCGTTCCCGGCGTTACAGGCTTCAACACCGATGCCACGAAAATGGTAACAAGTGATATTACTCAGAGCGTCGATTTTCGTTTCACTTATTCAGTGGTATGACACCTGCTCTCAGCCATGAGTTATGCAACACAGCGGAACCTGAAGTACGGCACTGGCTGGAAAAAGAAGACTAAGAACAACTGGTTCAAATATTTGGCTGTGATCCGTAAAAGGTCGCCTGGATGGGGCGGGAGAATGATACAGATAGCTGACTCTCGCTCCTTTTACCCACCCATTTCCCAAGTCTGGCACGTCTGTCGGCGGCGAAAAGGTCTGAACACTTGTGTGGAGTTGCGTGAAAGACCCGCGTGACGTCGATGCAGCTGCGGGCATGGCGTGATGATCTGTGTGAGGCGATGGCGACGCATTCGTCGCTACTGCCGCAGTGAGAACAGTGGCCAAACTTTAACACCGGGCCGGTGTGGTGGTGGTCTGCCGTCGCTACTGCATCAGTGTGCGGGTCTGACGTCACTAGAGCATCGGAGTGATGGTCTGGCGTCACTTCAGGACCGAAGTGCTAATCTGACGCCACCACCGACAGAAGTAGAAATATCGCGTCACTGTAACACTGCAGTGGTGATCTGACATCACCACGGCACCGGAATGACCGTGTGACGTCATCACATCACCTGGGTGGTGGCCAAACGCTACTACAGGAATCGACCAGTGACAAGACGCCACAATAAAGGGCAGAACAGCGGCCGAGCGGCACTGCAGGAGGAAAGCAGTGGCCAGACGCCACAATACATGACCAAACGCAAAGACCAGGCGTCACTCTGCAGAACCAGAGCAGCGGCCAGACGTCACTCAACAGGACTAGGGAGGCGGCCAGACGTCCCTATACATGACCAGAGCAGCGGCCAGACGTCACTCCACAGGACCAGAGCGGCGGCCAGACGTCAGAGCGGCCAGTGGACCCACCCACAGGACCAGATTCAGTGAGTGATTCGGCCGGCCTGCCCCCTGCGCCGATGTCGCAGAGCGCCTCAGACCGGTCGTCTATCTGCCTGTAAACAATTGCTTCTCGTTATCGTGCCACGCCGCCCGGGATGCGTCAGTCCGCCTGTGGTGCCGGGAGGCGGCGGCCAACGCTCTCGTCGCTCGTGGTCGCAGCCCCGCCCGCAGCCGCCGTCACCATGGATATTCTCGTGGCGCAGATTCTCGGCATCCTCGTCATCTTCTTGGTCACCACCACCATCGGCGTGCTGCCCGGCGTGCTGATGCGGCGCAACGCCAGTGCGATCAGCGTGGAGTCGCGCGGGTTCCGCACAGTCCTGTCGGTGGCCAACTCGCTGGCCTCGGGCGTCTTTCTGGACCTGTGCTTCCTCGGTCTGATCCCGATGGTGCAGGAACTTTTCAGCAAACTGTGGGTGGAGCTGGAGGTGTCAGTGCACTACCCGGTGGGCGAGGCACTCGTGCTGGTCGGCTTCTTCTTGATTCTGACTGTGGAGAACTTTGCCATCTGGTTGCAGGGGCGCGGCCAGCAAAAGCCAGAGCCTGGTATGCGCGCGCTCAGCATCGAGAACATAGCGGACGTAGTGTCGGAGGCGGCGCCGCGGACGACTCTGCCCAAGGGAGACGACCGCGAAGACGGTGGTGAGGCCGGCCGGCCGCTGACGGCACAGACAGGCGGCAAAGAGCCAAACGGTGTTGAGCTCCAGGTGATGGCGGCACCGGAGACGTCGGGGCAGGGTCATAGCCACGGCGCCGTGCTCGCGGCGAACAACTCGGGGCTACGTTTCCTCATGCTGCTGTCGGCCATCAGTCTGCACTCGCTGTTTGAAGGCATGGCCATTGGCCTGCAGGTGTCAATGTCGGTGCTG